GAATATAGAAACATTGCTTGATCAGTACTTTTTTAAAAAGCTTATTATTTAAGACTTAAGATCAGGTTAAACGATTGTAATTTTATTTTTTTATTCCAAGTTTCTCACTCATCCACTATAAGATATTTCAGAAAGTCTTTTCTGAGCTAAATTATTCTCTTCCCTTCTCTTCTAAATGGTTCGATCTATCTTTACTGAAAATAAAATAATTAAATGCATACAATGATAGGGGGACTTAAAATAAGGGGTTTAAACTTACTCCAATATTGATCTTGGTTTCGCAATTTGGTCATATTGACAGGAAGACCTGGAGGAGCGAACCTTGTCCGGAGTCCAAAGTATGTATGATCATTTCCAGAGTCGGACCGTGGACTTGGTACATTCCCAGATGTTTCGTTGGCATCATAAGTGAGTCTTGTCACTCTCAGCAACCAAGCTACAACTCGTCAAAGAGACAATTGAAGTCAATCCATTGACCAACTTTCTGTTGAGACGGATAGACTATCACTCCTTGTTTTGTCCTGGTCCATCTATCAATTTCATACCCTCTAGTCTCGCCCTCTTCCTATCACAACTTTTGACATGTTTATATTTAAGAGCTACAGAGAGAAACTGGGTTTCGATGACTCTCCTGGGATAACATTGTTGGGGGACTTTCATTTCGTATGAAAGTGCATGAATAAGAGATTCGTAGGTCGCCGAAGTATTGACTAGATATTCGCTTTTTATTTTCGTTTTTTTAATTCCATTAACTCTTCCATAGATTTGTGATTCCGTTGGTGCATACCTTCTGGCTGATATGGCGCATATCTCCGGTCTCGTTGCTGGCCAGACTATACCTTCTCCTTTCGTGTATGCTGACGTCGTCACATCGACTACGCATAAGACACTTCGTGGGCCCCGCGCAGGTCTGATTTTCTATCGCCGGCGCCCGCGTTCTTCTAATTCTGAGTCAGCAACCGCCTTACCCTCTTCAGTCTTTGTACAAATGGAATCACGAATCGATGCGGCCATATTTCCAGGACTTCAAGGCGGACCGCACGAAAACGCTATTGCTGGAATAGCCACCATGGCTCTTCAAGTGAGTCAATTTCGTATAGTTATATTTAATCTAATTTACTACCCAAAACGTATGTATTTATCGTTGTTAGGATGTCATACAAAAAGCTGTTAACATTCATCCAGGTCAAGACCTCAATGGACCTTTCCAACTTGTCCATGTACACATTTGCCAAAAGAGGTGAGAGTGCAGATCCCATCAGTAGTCCAAATATTTGCTCGTAGATACTGCCGTTAAATGTAAAATATGTGCTTCATGCTTGTTTTTGACTCTTAATCTTAGCCGATTTCCTTCTTTGTGTATCTTCGGTAGTCCGTAGGATGTCGGGGGTCTTGCGTCATTTTTTATTAAAAATTTCATCATTCATCTATCAACTTCCCCATTATTATGCATTTCCTTTAGCATATTCTTCAGTGTCCCGTTGATCTTCAGGGTTGGACCCTTCCTTAGTATCTGATAAATTTTCCGCTTTCCTAGGATACTTTACATTTTTTCCATGCACTGTTTCCTGTCCATTACAACCGTCGCTCCTCCCTTTTCCGCCTTGTAATTTTTTCCGTATACCTGTCAATCTGCTCTGTATCGGTTTTTGATCTGCCAGGATCCGTGGGATTTTTTCCATTTCATCTCTCGCTTTGTCTCTACATATTTATCAGATATGTTGACGACTTTCACCAGAATATCACTAAGAACATTTCCTACGTGACCCATGGAAAAATGTAACCCCTTCTTTAAGAGATGCATAATTTCAGAATCAAGAAGAATTGAAGGTAGATTTACCATCTTAGTCCTATCATCATCTGTAGCAGTTGATGCCTTCAATTCAGAACTATCAAAATTTTCCTGAGTTGGCTTGGTCTTGCGCTGTCTTATTATCCCATAGCTAAGCGATTTCTTGCCATGCCGCTTATCTATCAGATCCCGGACCCTCTATAACTTCTGGTCCGTCATGCTCTGGATTTTTTGAAAATCATCTAAAGTGAGAACCATACTTAGATCCTTTCTTAATCTAAACTTGATATATATGAACTTAAATAGTTACGCCTCTCGTTTTGTTAACTTTCCTCTGATTTCTGGATGGAGGCGCGATAAAGTATTTCATTAACTGTGCCCGAATGGCACTTTCCCATAATGTTTGCAACTTCCATAGTTTAATCAAGATATGAAGACCAAGATGGTGTGGTCTTTTGTGTGGTCGCAAGCAATCTTCGGAGAATCCCCTCCTTATGCTTCTTTGGAAGGCCATAAGCCGAGGTTGCCCTAGTATCTCTTTAAAGTGGGGAACTCATTCTTAATTTCTCCATTTCCCCACTACTTATGCATACTTTTAGAGCATCCTTAACCTATTCTTAAGTCATAGGATTTTAATAAAAGGCTTATAAGTATCACTTTTATTTAACTTCGTTAAAGTCTATAAATACTTTGACCTAGCCATGATTACCATTGCTCTATCCTTGTCGGCATTCATAACAATTAAATTATTACGACGTAAATATCTAGATGCCCTATTTAGAACACACGATTTATTTGGCGCAGCAACGTATTCACAGTGAGGAATCACTTTAGCTATATACTATTCTTGACTTCGTGGAGTCCATCTGATAAGCTAATTAGCACTTCTGATATGTCAAGGGAATGGTTT